AATATATGACTACTTTTGAGGACTCAAATTGTGGCTGCGGAATGCATTGCGAAATGCACCTTCCCCATCAACTTCAAAAATTGACTTTTCATGCGCCATCCGCATCGCACGGCACTGTCAGCTCAGTTAATTGGGCGACAACAACAAAGTCCCATATAAATGAGACTTTGGTGAAGTTGCTTTTATCACCTCAAAAAGTTTAAAGCAATTGTGATTTGTTAATTGCCATCTTGTCAACTTTTAAAGTTGTGCTTGACTGCACATCGAATATACTAGTCTATCTGCTCAAACCTCCAAATTTTTACCTGGTCTGTAGAAGTACAAGATTCGAGGTCGAATAATGATGGCTTCCCGGAAAATGGCGGATTTTTACAGTATATTATTAGCATATATTTAATTGAAATTTAGGGGCAACTTTTACATAAACACAAAAACAAAGAAATGTACTTATGTACTGATAACATGAATTTGTATTAGCCTTTGTTTGACATTCACAGTTCATTCAATGATACGACTCAAAATTTGTGTTCCAAATCATCCCGTCAGTAGCACCTGTCACCGGCGAAAATAATGGAAATGTCAGTTATTTTTATGCGACTAGGTTTGTTCTCTCATTATACCCCTTAGCAAAATGTCTCGCTCTATGCCTTTTACAACAGCATATGGCTTTGGGAAAGTTTTAGCAATGAAAGCCACCACAAACTCATTCTTTTAGTTTTTCAAAAGTGTATTTCACCCATGACAACGGCCTATCATGGCACGTAAGTGCACTAGGGAGTCAACGCAGGGGATAATGAAGATTATGTGCAAATCATATGAGTCGAATCACGATGAAAATTAGCAGTGAAATAGCACACCCCTCTGCCTTTACTACTTAGGGTATTGCAATAAGCTTTAAATGTTTTGACAATTATGTTGTATGGAAAAGAAAAAAATTGCTGAAAAAGACGCCTCATTTTGTAATGGGGAGTAAGCCACTCTCTACAGCAAATTGGAGAAAACTATGAAGACAAATTCTGGATTTGTTCACCACCACAAAGTTATGTTTAACCTTTGTACGCTAATCTACCTGTGCACCGAAAGACGCCTGTTCGCTTACCTAACCCTCTTCAAGTATAGATTTCGATTCACATAATGGGCTTTGAAATTCATGTGATCATGCCAACACTGTATCAAACGCCACCCAGATTCACTGCACAAGTGACTGTCACTTGTAGGTTTATTAGGCTGCCCTTCCTTTTTTCTAAGCACCCGTTTGGATCAATATCATTTCCTGTTTTGCTCATGCGTTCAGCGCCCCTCATGCATTACTAATGCATATTTGACGGTCTGTCAAAGAATTCATAAATTATTTTGAAGATCTTACTAGTGAAACCTGTTTTAAAGTCTTCCTCTTCTTCTTTCTTGATAAGATGACGAACCCGATAAGTCAGGATGATATTAGTAAGGATTGTGCAAGTCGTCAATAGGATCTTTGATTGGCGTCTGGCTCTTTTCTTTAAGCAATGCAGCTCACTGACATTCGCCTTTTTAGTGATGAACTGCCATATCATTGTTTTGAATTTCAATACTTTCCTAAACACATGAACATTCGCATAGGCTTCCTAAGACTTGAGTTCAATATGACAAGATTATCGAAGTTGTGATAGTTGCCATGTGTTGATGTAGTAAAAACCGCTAAAAAGTCATGATTTTCTATTGCACCTCCTTTTGAATACTTAGCTTCATAAAATTCAATAAGATTTTAATGCTAGTCAATAATATTTAGCGAAAGTTTCTAATTTGTAAGATAGTACTACCACCAAAATAAATATAAGTATATCCTACATATTACCCTATTTTTTACACTGACAGCAGTAAAAGATTGTCGGCACTCAGCATGAGATTACAATTTTGCCTTATTAAATTTCTTCCCCTTCCTGGTTCCTGTAGGAATGGTTTACTTGCAAAAGTCGATTACCTCAGACAGACAGGGCTTTGTAGATTTGTGTAAGTCTTTCTACAACGCCTTTTATTAGACATGGGAAGATGTGAGGGTGCCAAGATGAGTTAATGGACTTGCAGTTCCGATTTTAGTAGTGTAACTGAGGTTAATGGTTAGGGCTTTCCAAACAATTAATGGGTTTGTTTAAGCCTATCAGAGATTAATTCTATCCCAACCCACTTTTGTGGAAAGTTCATTTTACACTTTGGAAATGTTTTCAAACACTAACCTACGATTAGTCGGTTTTTTTATTCAGTTGTAGCTTTGCACTGCTCTATCAAATGGCATTGAGATCTAGTTATCCGTAGGATATGTGACGAAAGCGTTATGGAATTACCATGAAAGTAGGAGATAGACTAGAGACTACTAGATGCAACCAGCACTAAGCTAAAATAGGAAGGTCTTGTTGCTCGAGCGGCTAAGGGGATTTGAAACCCCCTGATTAGATGATTATTGATGGGGTTGTAAAACCAATTAGCTGGAGGGAAAAAAGATTTTTTTTCTCGGGTTTCTTGCCATGCGTGATTTTTATAGAATATTAAAGCATTAATTGATTTTTTGCTTTTACTAATGACGCGGTTCGTGTGCGCATACCCGCGCTTGGAAGTGTTAGGTGGTGATTTCGTATAGGCGCATGAGGAGGGATTAAATCGCCTTGTTAAATGCCACCATTCTCTGCAAGTCTGACGATTGTCAGTGTAGCAGACACCCAGTCTGGCTGAGAACATTATTATGAACAGGTAGAAAGACTTCCTTGCTCTGACATGTTAAGATCTCACTGTGGAATTAAAATGAATTTTTTAAAACGTTTGTCACTCAGTTCACCAATGAGTTTCTTAATTACCTCTCAATGCGATCTTAATTTTTAATGAAAATATGGACTGAAATGAAACCGCCTACATTAAAGCAACTGTTTGAGAATTTAGAGCTTTAAAAACAGGATTTTCCCTTAGTAACTTTGAGATTAACACTAAATTTGTATAAGCAGCTACCTTGTATCCTCTAAAGAGCAAAATAGTGCATTACCTTTCTGTGAAACAGATGTCTACCGAGCACGACCGAAATTACTCAATAAAGCTATGTATCTTTCCCCCAAAGTACCATCATTATGTTACATTCCTCAGTGCTCTCCCCATTGGATTTACAGCTTTTAATTTCCAAGCAGTCTCTGCAGCTTCATGTCTGTAAGTAAGGAGTAAGGCGGATTTATCAATGAACTACATTAGCTTGTTACAAAATACGATGGGAGTTAACTTTAAGTTGAACCCCGTTATCCATTTATAAATCTGATTCTGTATTCATTCACTATGCTTCCATCTGAATATTTGAACATCACTGCATTTTCCAAAGCCTAAAATTGGGGTATGAGTAATTTTTACAAAGATAGAAATGGTGGCGCTCACTTCTGCTGCCTTGCCTAAAAATTCGCTTTAATGAGTGATAATTATTGTGGGTAAAGAGAATGCTACTAGGATCTAAAACCACAGGAAAAATTTCACACCATGAAAACACAATTAGTTATTATTAAGTGAGTTGTTAATTAAAAGCATGTGGTTTTCACACTTGTACCTAACGCACTTATGTAATAAAGTTATGTGACCATATAAAAATACTTATTCACCAAAGGTTAAAACGATTCCATTGAAATGTACAGGATTCACAAAGGTTCGATTATATTGGTTTAAGAATGTGCTCAAGTGTTTCAAGCTCCCAGAGAAAGTTAATTCACTGACTGTTATACCAACTCCTGACTTGTGTTATGAATGTTTGGAAAGTCACAGCTCAAAGTATTAGGAATATTTAAAAATGCAATTCAGCTACTAACCGCTGACTTCCCGTTCCTTACGTAAGCGAAAAATTCCTGTTTTACAGGCATTATTCCAATCCAAATTTTCGATAATGCTCCAAAATAAAACACATAGCACATGTTTTTAAAGCTGAAGTAGAACATCGCTGGTGAGGGATATAGGGTTAAGAGATTCCAGGTATTTGAGATGCCCGTTTATAATTATTAGAGTAGGAAATGTATATAATCCGAAAAAGATGCTCAAGGATTAAAGAGACATTGTCTTTAAGCCGATGCGTTTGTTAAATGCAGTCTTCATTGATAACCCTGGATAAGTTTACTAGTCCGAACTGAACCTATTTCCAGTTAACAAAGCTAAGGAACCACCTACAGTTCAATATATGTGCAAGCAAAAATCTTTAGAAGCCTACATTTCATTAACAAGTTTTTGCTCGATCTTGTTAAATTACAGTAATACCTTGTCAAATCAAAGCCGTGAAAAAGTCCTTTTTACTATTTTTTTTGCTAATTCACAAAATAAATAGTTTATTTTATTTAGGAATGTTAAAGTACCAACAGTCTACCACTAACGCACGAAGCAGTTCGAAAGTGAGTTAGATTGTTAAACTCTCTAAAAAGTCCCAAAATGGCCGAACTTTTGTTTCTTCGTTATTACCATACATATTCAAACGCCCTATTTACGCTTGCGGTTTATTCCAAGCTGCCAATTACTAGGTGGTAGCGTGTGAGGAGAAATTCAGTCTGATATGATGGCTAATTTCTCCTTTGCACGGTTTTCGGCTCGTCTACTGGGCTTTTCAAATCCATCAGCTTCGCGAGCCCTCTCAACTATTTTGGGAATTGAGACCAGCTGTGATGATACCGGTGCTGCTGTGGTTAATAACCAAAGAATAATTTTGGGAGAATCACTTGTCTCACAGACGCCCACATCTGTCAAGTAGTTATCTGCCATCAGCTTATTACTTGTATTTTTAACCTAATTGGTGGCTAATGCATTTGTAGAATGGGCGGTGTGGTTCCACCGGTTGCGCAAAAGCTACATGTCGAAAACATTGGAAAGACTGTCTCAACAGCCATGGAAAAGTCGGGTATTTCGTGGGACAATTTGGATGCCATTGCCGTCACTGTTAAACCTGGTATGGCGTTGTCCCTAAAAATAGGTGTCGTGCATGCTAAGCAACTAGCCGTGAGGCACAAGTAAGGTGAATTAAAAGTGCACTGACTTTTCTGTTAGCCTGCCCATTATCCCAATACATCACATGGAAGCTCATGCCTTAACAGCAATGCTGACAGATGAAAGGTATAGTTGTGTTACGCTGATTCGCTTTCTCAGTTTGACTCTTCCATTTTTAGCTTTATTGGTGAGTGGGGGACATTCGCTACTTGCCCTGGCTAGAGATATAGATGAGTTTCTCGTGCTTGGTATTTCTCTTGATATGTCTCCCGGTGACTGTTTGGATAAAGTGAGACTTGCATAATCATTCAGACGATATAGGTCGCCCGTCGCTTGCATCTTGCGTCTCTTAACGATGGAATATACAGTCAAATCCCTGGCGGAATGGCAATCGAGCTGATGGCTCGTAATAGTTGCGGATCCAGGGCCTTTCCCATACCCACACCACGAAGTGTCGCACGCGACTGCGACTTCTCCTTCTCGGGCATTCGGTCAGCAGCCGATCGGCTGATTGCTCGTCTAGAAGAGGACCAAGTGAATGGAGTTCTACCTGTTGATGTTATTGCCTCCATTTGTGCCTCCTGTCAGAATGCCGTGACTCGGCTCTGCTGTAGACGGGTGCAGAGAGCCATTGAGTATTGTGCGCTCAACTCTCTTCTACCGTCTTCCATCCGAATTCCTCAGACTGCTTGGCCTACTCCCCCGCTTCCCACAAGCATTGACCCCTCTGCACCTGCTCTAGTATGTTAGCTGAATTCTCGTTCTAAGATCAGCAATTTGGATTATAACTTGCTTGATTAGGTACGATTCTGAGTAAATGCTTTTTAATTTAATTTATCATCTAGGTCGTATCTGGTGGTGTGGCTAGCAATCTCTTTATACGGAATGAATTGACCAAAGTGGCTGCGCACTACGGAATGCGATTAGTCGCACCTCCACCGCGATTATGCACCGATAACGGAGTAATGGTTGCCTGGTAAGCCGTCGTTTCTTGCCACTTTATGTGTTCCTTTTCACGAGAATCTCTTCTAATGAAGTTGGAGTCCATTCTACCAAACTTCATAGTTGGAAGAGGTTTATTGTGGATCCATTTTTTGACTCGCTCTGCTGGTGTTGTAAAATCAGCTCATGTATGTATTAATGGTTTGGACTTTGTTGTGGCTTGATCGACTCCGAGGTGCTTGCTTAAACGCTTTCAAACTGAAGGAGATCTAGTTTTATTGAATAGCATTTTCTTTTGGAACCCAACTAATGGTGTTCACTTTTTGTTCTCTCGAAGACACTTCCCTTTGCTCAATGGTGATATTAGCTTATTCAAATTGACCTAATCATATTGTTTGACAAAATCTGGGTTGGATTTATTCGCTCTCCGCCTATTCACCATGACAGATTATGGTTTCTTCCCATAGGAATGGTGCACTGCTGCACTCCAGAGGCAAGCGAATTGAGTATGATCCAAGTGTGATCGACTTTAGTCCCAGGTAAGAAATCGTGCTGCTTGTTTTCCTCTCATCATAACCAACTGGATGCATTTTTATGTGTTTCACAGAGCGCCTCTTGGTAAAGACATTCGCGCCCTTGTTGCGAAAGCAAATATTCAAATAAAGCCGCTACAGGTGGCCAGATCTCAATCATTGGGAGATGTCAATTTCTAAGTGTTTGTGTACCTTGTATTATATTAAAAGAAGACGCCCCTTTTCTGTCCTATTGTCAGCTTTAGGCTCTCTTGGGTCTCAAGAGGTGAGTATGCGATAACTGGTCACGTCAATGTTTTATGATTGTGTTTGGCGCTGTCACACTCTGGAAATTCCTCTTTTTTGAGTGAAGTTGGTAGAGTTGGCTGTTTTGTTACCAAATCTCGGGGAAGTGCGTTACCGTTTGAACACTAGCAGTTTGCTATATTTTAATTTACTAGCCACTGTACTAGTACCGATTTGTTTCCTCTTGTGAGGCTGGCGGAATTTATAACTTGAAAGGGAAGGGTGTTTTTTTAATTGCACCCATTTACCTTTTACAGGATTATCTTCTCATCGTCAGATAACTTGATTCATTGTATAGAAACTAATATCTGATCAAACATCTTTTGGGTGTGATCGGAGTTTATGCCCACTTTATTCGATTGTGGTGACATACGGGAGGCACTTTGATTAAAGGGGTTTGTATATTCACTTCCCTAAATGAGTTAATTGCTGTCTACCGCATGTTGATTGTCGCAATTCCGCGTCTGGGAGAGTTCAAAAGTATCAGTTCAGGTGTCCATTGGTAATAAATTATTTGAGGGCAACGTAATAAGAGCTTCTTCCTAATTCAGATAACCATTTCTGAGGTAACTTGATGTGGTTTTGACGTACGCTGATTTTGCGGTGAAAAGCGTTGATTACAGCTTTAGCTTTGCCAGGCAGTGCTCTTCATTTAGCAAGGAATCAGAGTACTAGCCTTCGCATTTTTGGTCTGTGTAAAAGTTATTAGTCATGACACGGGTGTTTAATTTGCATAGAGACGTTGGTAATAGGTAGCTGATTTAATCCTGGAACTTGAAAATACGTTTGAGTTGTGTCTTCCCAAGTAATTTACTCAGTGTCCAAGACGTTGGTTGTAATTGTATGGCAGTTGGTGGCCATTAAATGGTCAAACAAGTCGTCATCTTACTTGTGACACGAGCTTTTTGCCGCATTATCTCGGTGTTTAAAGACCTGCCCCAATAAGGGCATTTAAACTCTTCGCCGCGTCATTATTCGCCATCGGAATCAAGGCCTTTTAACTAATTTTCCACCGTTTTTAGCTTAAAGCGCTCTTTCCTTTCAAATAATATGAAGATAAATGAGATTTAACTACTTTCGTTCCTCTTCCATAAAACTCAGACACAAACGTGCTTTTCTTAGAGGTTGTGGAGTTGAATTTGTATTGCCAGCATGCTTAGAATTAGTGAAATTCTCCGACTTCACTCGTTGGAAATGGAAGCATTTCTAAGTTATCTATGCCCAGGGAAATTTCGTGACATCTGCTCAAAGACTACTGAATCGCATTTAATTTGGGTCATAGTCGATGGCCATAATGAATCGGTTCCGTATTAGGAGCCATATGGACAAATCCTAGGAACAGTATACTCTAGAACGTTAATTAATCAAATGTCAATCAGTCGTTATATCCTTTTTGGAGGTGGTAAGAAGGGCTACTGTTCCGGCTCCCTTTGTTCCCAGCCGTAGCAGATCGATGATCTCACCGTCTGTGTTTCTCCGGATCTTTCTTTTTTAAGTGGCCAATTTGCTCTTGATCCCCATTGGGAAGACTTCTCCTACAGTCAGGCGAAACTGTCATAGTCGTTTCACCCTCTGCCCAAGTCAAGTGTGAGTGAGCGGCTAAAAAGACTTGCGACTGACGGCACTAACAATCAGTTTTTCAACTCTTCTGAATGGCGGCACCCGTACTCCCATGTTTAGATTATCACTGGAAAGGTTAGCAGCCAGTATGCTTTTGATAGGGGAGAATCTGTGGAGTCTTCTACTGAGAATTATGGCAAGTTTGCGGTACTTTATGCGCCTATTGATATATATGGATGCCATCCGAATATTCATCCACAATGCTTAGACAAAGGTGCACTAAATTCTGCAATAAAATTGTGTATATATTCATGAATCACAATTCTACTCTTAGTTGATTGATCAAAACATGGGTTCTAGGGTGAATTTGCAAAAACCTGGAAAGCATGATGAAAGGGAATGAAACATAATTACTCAACATAAAATCAACTACCTATTAAGTTATAGAATGTGAAATAAAGTCTACGGGAAGATTTCCAATTGTTCGGATTCTGGTATGGAAATCAACACTCGTATGTCCTAACTCCTCCAATGAAACTCCCTTAAAAGTACGTCTGTCTAGGGTAATTATGACTTCGATTTACTGAAAAATAATGTGAAACAGTCGCATAGGAGAAATCAACTCCTGATCATGGAATGAAACGTCTAAGTGGTTCGCAATGCACTACTGCCTATGAATTGACCCACTTTACCCCATTTTCAATGACTGATCCCATTTTCAAAATGGTGCATCTAATTAGGAGTAGGAAGAACGGCTACCTTGCTGGTTAAGCATCCTGTTCTCCAATGCTCCTCTTCACGGTATCAGTATGATGCTTACGGAAATGAAGCAGTGGAGATGACTTCGGACATTATTTTACTCATTCTATCTAATTAAAGATTGAAACGAAAATTGCTAACTCAGATCCTATTTTCGGCCGTTTGTGGAGGAATTTCTTTGGCTAGGTTTTCGGATTCAAGCCCGTCAGTGCATTTCTTCGTAGATCTACAACCACAGCAAGAGTTCCAATTTACGCGAAATGCTGCGAAAATATCCATGCAGCTCTTAAAATCATTACAGAAGCGGAAAAAGGGATTTCGAAAATACAATGGAAATGCCTAATGATTCTGCCGATATGCTAAGAAGTTGATAAAAAGGAAAGAGGTTCTCGATTTGTAAAAAGCATCATTGATGATTGCAAGGAAATCCATCAATATTGTTTTTAAAAGCAGCTCTAGAAAACCGGGGAATTCAGTATCATTACGAAGGGCAAAGTACTTCCAATATTTTGGTGAAATTCATAAAAGAGACAGTGATACCGCTGAACACAGAAGAGGTTTTGGTTGGTAAATAAAAATCATTATTAAACAGGTGGAATCCCATAGAATGCAGCCCGAATCGGCCTTAGGTCCACTTATTTAGTACATGTTTGTCTTTTTCATGATGCGAAGGAACTCAGCCTCATTCACTTCGCCATCACCGTCACGATCTGCCTCGTCGATCATCTCCTGTAGTTCCTCATCAGTAAGATTTTCGCCCAGTTCCTTAGCAACACGTTTCAGATTTTTGAACGAAATCGCACCAGTTTCGTCATCGTCAAACAGTTTAAATGCTTTTAATACTTCTTCGCGAGCATCTTTGTCTTGCATTTTTAAAGACATCATTCTAAGGAAGTCAGAAAAAGAAAGAACACCTTTCCCCTCAGGATCATATTCAGCCACTAGTCTTTTAATCTCTTCCTTCTTTGGCTCATAACCCAGAGCGCGCATGGCCACTTTCAAATCCTTCGTGTCTATGTAGCCAGTTTTATCGACGTCAAAAAGTTCGAATGCTTCTTGGATCTCTTGAGTCTAAGGAAATAAATGTAGAATGAATACAAAAACCTCCATGGCATTAGCTCGAAAACTACCATCACTTTTCTTTTTGAGAAACGAGGAGTTGGACGACTTTTTTGTAATAGAAGCCTAAAAAATGCGGAATTAACAGGGCACATCTTGCCATTGTACTTAGATTAAGTAAAAACAGCAAAGACAAACTGGTTCAAAATAACGCCAATTGTTGATTGATTGTCTCCATTGGAATCCATCTAAGATATGAAGGACCTAATTACAGGGAAGAGAAACATTTTTAATTTTTGGTATTACATAGTCTGCATTATTGTTTACAGGTTTATCAAAACAATCAGAGGATCTTACTATTTGAATGGAGCGCAACCAGGTTTTCAATTAAACTATGAATAAAAAGGTTCTATGGGCAGAAAAAGGCTGTCGAAACTGTCGGCCAGCAGTATGTATAATATTTGTCTCTTAAAAACTATTATCGTTGAAAGTGTGAAATACTTTAGCTGATAATTGTTTAAGCCTAAATTACTTGTTGAGCCCATTACTGATTAGTGCACAAAAATGCAATCTTTATAAATCTTAAAGTAGCTAGGATTAAACTTTTGCTTCTTCCTAAAGCGTTACTCAGAATTTTAAAATTATTAAATTTTGAATTTTTGCGTTGCAAGAATATACGGCACATTACTGCACCTAGGTTTTAATTTCTAGATGTTTCATAGCCCCGTGACATTGCCATAGCATCCCACCATTTTCTAAGATGCTGCCTGAAGTGCGCGCATTTTGACCTGGATGAGTAATGGCGGACGGTTTGTTGTTTTCTTTGTGTTAGGAGTTGGTGCTTTTTAGAACCTGAAACCCGACGCAAGATCATTGCTGATCGAGAAGACGAATATCATGCTCAACGGCTTAAAGCTGTCCTATCCCCCGTTCGTGCGGATCCTTTTAAAGATGGTATGTGCCTTACAGGCTTATGTACCTCCCTTCCGACTTATGACTATCGTTCTTTTTTCTCCTATTGGTCAATGTTGATACGCATCTCATCTTTGAGAACCTATTTTGTGCCTCCAAGCTAAGTAGCTGCCCATAGTTGTGTGTTAAACCCGATTTTTTATACATTGCGCCCGTTGACATGAGTAATATCGGCCTCTGAGCCTTTTGAATGGTGTGTGCCACGGTAGTCTTTGGATCGTATGACGTCCTCGTACTTTAATGCTTCCCCTTAATTTGAACCTCTTGACTTTACAAAGACTATGCTTCGGGTCTGAATTCATCTTATTCCCTGTATTATCTCTGCCTATTTGTTGCAGGCGATAAGACTCCCGATCCAAGGCTTAGTACTTACAAAGATGTTATGCTCAATCAAAAGCTCACTCAGGAACAGCGTGCTCTGCGTGCAGAAATCGCCGCGAAGGCTAAGGCGGGGGAACTAAAGGTAGTGGACCCGGCTCCCCCAGTCAAGCGTCGTCGTTGGGATCAGCCTTCAGCTGACACTAATGGTACTGTTGTCAAAGATTTCACGGCTAAGCGTTGGGATGAGGCAACTACGCCAATCCAGCCGTTGGGCACACCCGGCATCGCAGCAACTCCGAGCAGTCGCCAATGGGAGGAAACTCCGGGTCGACCCCGTGATCCTGCTGCCACTCCGGGCTTGAGACAATGGGCTGAAACTCCGGCTTATGTGCCTAGCGCAGCAACCCCTGGTCGCGATCCACTAGCGGTGAGCCTTTTTCCTGCATTTGTCCCAAACAGTGTAATTTCTAATCGGAAAGCGGTACTTTGACGCCGTCTTCTGTTAAACATTCACAGGGTACGCCGAGCGCTCGAAAGAATCGATGGGATGAGACGCCTCACTCCGAGCGTTACGGTGCAGATACGCCTGGTCATGGCGCTGGGTGGGCAGAGACACCTCGTGCTGATCAGACTCCGAGCGGGGTTAATTCAATTCAGGATACCCCCTCTTCCGCGTACAAAGCTCTCGGCCAGACTCCAAATACAGCTGCAGCTGTAATAGCCAAACGTAAATCGCGTTGGGATGAGACACCGATGAAAGCTGGTGCTACTCCACTGGGTGGTGCAACTCCCAGTGGTGCTACGCCGAGTGGTTTCACGCCGACTATGGGAACGCCGGTAATAGGCACCCCTGGTCTTGGCTTCACCCCCTCTGGTGCTACTCCTACCGGTCTAAAAGCTATGTCTATGGCGACTCCGGCTTTCGGTGTTGCCAGCACAGTCCCCGGCACAGGCATTCCAATGACACCGGAACAAATGCGGGCCGTGCAGTGGCAACAAGAAATTGATGATCGAAATCGACCGCTTACTGATGAAGAACTGGATGATATGTTGCCTCCAGGTTACAAGATTCTTCCACCGCCCGCTGGATACGTACCTCTGCGTACACCAGCTCGCCGGCTGTTGGCGACGCCCACTCCTGTGGCTGGTACGCCTTTCGGCTTCCACATGACTACGCCTGATGTTGGTACGGCTGCGGGTATTGGGTCGGCTGCGATGGGTGGAAATGCGGTTGCGCTTGGCGATCTGCAACCAAAGGGCAATAATCTGCCAATGATGCGTCCTGACGATCTCCAATACTTCGATAAGCTACTCCAGGACGTGGATGAGGATAGTTTGCCTCCTGAGGAGGCAACTGAGCGCAAAATCATGACGCTTCTGTTGAAAATTAAAAATGGCACACCACCGATGCGCAAGTCGGCTCTCCGTCAAATTACAGACAAGGCGCGTGAGTTCGGTGCAGGCCCTCTATTCAATCAAATTCTCCCCCTCTTAATGTCCCCAACTTTGGAGGATCAGGAGCGGCATTTACTGGTCAAGGTCATCGATCGCATTTTGTACAAATTGGACGATCTAGTTCGCCCTTATGTGCACAAGATTTTGGTCGTCATTGAGCCCCTTCTTATCGATGAGGACTATTATGCTCGTGTTGAGGGTCGTGAAATTATTTCCAATTTGGCAAAGGTATATCGTTTTCCGTTGCATTGTGTCACACGCTTCAATCATTACATTCTTTTGCATTCTAGGCGGCAGGTTTGGCGACCATGATTTCAACAATGCGTCCAGATATTGACAACGTTGATGAGTATGTACGAAATACGACCGCTCGTGCTTTTGCTGTTGTGGCCTCCGCCCTTGGTATTCCTAGCCTTCTGCCATTCTTGAAGGTGTGTTCTTCGGTTTTACTGAGTTCCATCCCTTTATTCGTTCGCTACACTTTCATGCTTCCCTGTCTTTTACAGGCTGTCTGTAAATCAAAGAAGTCATGGCAGGCGCGACACACAGGGATCAAAATTGTTCAGCAAATCTCCATTCTTATGGGCTGTGCCATCTTGCCTCATTTGCGCTCCCTTGTTGAGATTATCGAACATGGTCTTGTCGATGAACAGCAGAAAGTTCGCACTATTACAGCTCTTGCCCTCGCTGCTCTAGCCGAAGCAGCAACACCGTACGGTATCGAGTCTTTTGATTCTGTCCTCAAGCCTCTTTGGAAGGGTATTCGTAGTCATCGTGGCAAAGTAAATTCTTATTTCCATCCAAATCTCAGTCGAAATCACCAAACTCACTGGTCTTTTCACTTTTTTTTGCTTAGGGTCTCGCTGCCTTTTTGAAAGCTATTGGCTACTTGATTCCTTTGATGGACGCAGAGTACGCCAACTACTATACGAGAGAGGTTATGTTGGTACTGATTCGAGAATTCCCCTCACCCGACGAAGAGATGAAGAAAATTGTGTTGAAAGTGGTAAAACAGTGCTGCGCTACAGAGGGTGTCGAACCCGAATACATTCGCAACGAAATTCTTCCTCCCTTCTTCCGACACTTTTGGAATCAGCGCATGGCTCTTGATCGGCGCAACTACCGACCAGTGAGTGTTCAGGTCCTTGTTTTCTGAAACTGTAGAAACTGCTTTAACATGACGTCGTCGCCATTTTTAGTTGGTAGACACTACTGTGGAGATCGCGACAAAGGTAGGTGCTACTGAGATAATCACACGTATTGTCGACGACTTGAAAGACGAATCGGAGCAGTACCGTAAAATGGTTATGGAGACTATTGAGAAGGTCATGTCTGCTCTAGGCAGCGATGAAATCGACGCTAGGTTGGAAGAACAGTTGATTGATGGAATTCTCTACGCTTTTCAAGAACAGACTACTGAGGTATGTCTAGTCGCACTTTTCCTGATCATTCGATAAATCAAAAGGCTGTGGTAATATTTGGTACTTGGTGTGATGTTTTCAGCATGCTTACCAGTCAAAAGCTTTCGGGTACCTTAGACCCGATGTGGCCGTCTTCCGATAACCGTTGTAACTTCGCTGCATTTTTTTAAAAAGGTTCTGCTATTAACGTATTTTGCGGTTTTCTAATGCTATTTTCAAGACCCTAAACTTGTTACCTGTTTCATACCTTATGGCAATAATAAGCGGATTTCATTTTTGTGTTTATTGCGACTCTGTGGCTACGAATTGTGTAAACGGTTTCAATGAAATTATCTGTTAATGTGTGCTATTTATTAAATCTCACTTCTCTATTTCGCAAATGCGCGCCTAATTTCTTGTCAAGCATCGTCTAGCTACTTGGTGCATTCGTGTAGTGCGATATTCGCTGTAAGCTTCTGTTATTTAATGTGTTGTAATAGGCTGCGAAACCCAGTCAATTGAGCTGATTGGCGCATCATTGAATTTCAATTCACCGTGCCATCAGATCGGTTTTTAAAACGACCGTCTTTGTTTGATCTAATTAGTTTTATCTTTTCCACTTATATCATTGTAAAAGCTTGCTTTTTAATGGCTTTGGATTTGTCCAACAGATGCTATTGAGTTAAATGTACCATGTCATGAAATTACCTTTTTCTGAACAACTAATATTGCACTTCATCGGTCAACGGGCTGATTTAATTGAACTGGGATAGTTCAGAACTATTCGTGGATTTCCCTGACGTGATACAGTTGCACCAAACTCTTGAATGTTCCATGATTAAAGTAACACTTGAGGTAACAAGCCGCCTGCTAGTAGACATTTGTGTGGCAATTATTAAAAGTTAATTTATTTGTATACTCTCCTTTGGTAGTTCACAATGTGTAATGCCTAAATCATAGGTCTATGTTGAAGGCTCTATTTTTTCTCGTATCATCAATCCGTTCCGACTGAGCTAATTAAAGCGTTCAATTTCAGGGTGTTTTGACGCCCCCTCGTAGTTTGTTTGATCCTTAAACATTGGCCCTATTCTCCTCGATCCTTCCTATCCCATTTGAGGCGTTCGCAAGTCCATGTTTCATTTAGTATTAATAAGCATCCGGGGATGTTAGTGTATCCTCTTGGCTATCATTTTCCAGGACACGGTGCTGCTGACTGGGTTTGGGACAGTTGTCCAGGCCCTAGGCAAGCGTGTGAAGCCCTACCTACCTCAGATATGCGGCACTATTCTCTGGCGTCTGAACAACAAGTCGGCTAAGGTTCGCCAGCAGGCGGCTGATCTGATCAGTCGCATAGCCGGTGTCATGAAGGTTTGTCAGGAGGAGAAGCTCATGGGTTACTTGGGTGTTGTGCTTTACGAGTACCTCGGTGAGGAGTACCCAGAAGTCCTTGGGTCAATTTTGGGCGCACTCAAAAGTATCGTCAATGTAATCGGTATGACCAAAATGACCCCTCCTATCAAGGAGCTCCTCCCTCGTCTAACACCCATTCTCAAGAACCGGTGAGTTTATCCATTCTTCTCAACACTTCCCGCCAATAGGATCATGGTTCCAATTTGATGATTTTTGTCAGGCACGAAAAAGTCGAAGAGAACTGCATTGACCTTGTGGGCAGGATAGCTGATCGTGGATCCGAGTACGTCTCCTCGCGCGAGTGGATGCGCATCTGCTTCGAGTTGTTGGAGCTGATCAAGGCCCACAAGAAGTCCATTCGTCGTGCCACGGTCAACACCTTCGGCTACATTGCTAAAGCCATTGGTCCGCATGACGTTCTTGCTACCCTCCTAAACAACCTGAAGGTGCAGGAGCGTCAAAACCGTGTCTGTACCACAGTTGCCATCGCCATCGTCGCCGAGACCTGCTCTCCCTTCACCGTTCTGCCCGGTTTGATGAACGAATACCGAGTTCCAGAACTAAATGTGCAGAACGGTGTGCTCAAATCTCTGGCCTTCATGTTTGAGTACATCGGCGAGATGAGTAAGGACTACATTTATGCTGTCACACCTCTCCTCGAAGACGCTCTGATGGACAGGTACATCTCTCCTAGAAGTGTGGATAATCTCCTAGTTACGACCTGAGCACGCGCCTATTCTTATTGCACTTTAGGGATCTGGTTCATCGGCAGACAGCGATGTCGGCAGTGGGCCATATGGCACTAGGTGTCTATGGTTTCGGTTGCGAGGATGCGTTGCTTCATCTCCTCAACTTCGTCTGGCCAAACGTCTTCGAGACGTCGCCACATGTTGTCCAAGCTTTCATGGCAGCTATTGAAGGCTCCAGAGTTGCTCTTGGACCCAATAGAATCATCCAGTACGCCCTTCAAGGGCTATTCCATCCGGCTCGTAAGGTGCGGGACATTATGTGGAAGGTGTACAACACCATCTATATCGGCAATCAGGACGGATTGGTCTATGGCTTTCCAAGGATTAAGGATGAGGAAAAAAATACCTACGTAAGACATGAGCTGGACTACGTCCTTTGAGTACTCTATGTCCCCTATTATTTTTACCCTTCCACATGCTTTCCACCCCGCACCACTTTTTACTATAAATATCACCTCTGCTGCATGATCACATCGTGTTGTTTGGCTTTATTCAGCTCTCGACTTTACTGATAACAGTTTTGTGATACTTATTTTATGAAAACAACAGAAGATGCTAGAATCTAGGTTCGATACCAGTCGATCTATACGTTGCACGTAGCTCCAAGTAGTGCTTCCTCATCTGCTCCTGGAACTCGGGGTCTAGAAGGCTAGAATTGTTGCAGTGTGCAAAGGGGGAATGTGAGCATTACTGTTGCTTGGTGCAGCCCATAGCAGCATCAAATTGTCGTCGACAGATGGCCACGGATACCCAATGCCACCTCCTGGCGCATTCGGCCAACTCTATGCTTGTGGTAATGGGATGGGGGTTAAAAGGGGTCGTACCCTCCCAGGGCTGAGCGCACTGTGTCTTTCGGGCGTGTTGCATACACAGAGCAGGGATCAGAGTCTCCTTCTCCACCCGATTTAGGCTCTCGTCCTCGGGAAAGCCTGTAGGGCAAATGCTAGCACAAATATCTGCACAAACCTAATCCGAGTGGGCCCTCAATCTTTTCTGAGGGCAGAACAGCGAAATCTAGAGTGTCACTCTTAAAAATGTAGGAGCCCATCTAGTACCTAAAATCGGACGCGCAAAAGGTAGTTACATTAAAAACTTCGCCCCACGGGTGTGTTAGGCTGGATTAACGCACGTGAAAATGCATTGAAGCGGGAAGTGGCAGGAAACTATCAAGAAGTGATTAAAACAGAGTGTTTTCGGCTCCTGCAGAATAAAATTGCATAAAACAACGGCGCGAATGAATATTTGGTGAGATACTGCTACCCACTTCAGCAAAACTGTGAAATCAACACGAGGAACAGCGAGGGCGCCCGAGCTGTCTATACAACAAAAGAGTGAAATTCCAGGTTGACAATGATTACCAGCATACGTCATTTTGCAACTTCGCAGTAAAGGCTTCTGAAATTTTTAAGATTTATTTAACAATAACATAAAGGACACTGGTTCAGTGGTTTGGTTTTAAATGGAAAGAGAGTATTCAAAAGTAGAAGTCCTATTGAAATTGTGTCTGGTGTCTGATTTTTAAACAGATGTAAGAAACGTTTTTGTGACATTGAAAAGCGAAACATTGACAAAGCACAATAAAATTTTTTTTACCACAGTGCAAAACATTACAAAATTTTAATCTGTTTTATGCGGTTTTTGCAGTAAAAATTAGATTTTGGATGCTTTTACCAAAGTACGGGCTTTTTTTCTGCGTATTTGGTTTCAATATGTCTTGGCCTTGACAATAGAGGATGCAACTTTACAAAATAGATTTGTGGGGATGGTTTATCGGGGTGTGTCTGTGGCTGTCGCTCTGCTGTTATCAACTTCGTCCGCTTTTGCGTCGAGTTCAGATAAATGTAAGGCTCAGCAAATCGTACTCGCCAATGCCTCAAAGAATGGTCATCCAGTTGACTTCGTATGTAGAGTTTGCTTCATATATTTTTAAGTACTACTTTAGGAATGATACGAAGGAGACCATCCAACTAACATGGGCTGGTGACGCAATAGGCGTACGACGGCGTTCATGATTTCATTTTTAGGTCATTATTTTAGTTACAATGAGTGAAAGTGAACAGGGTCTTGGTCAATCTTCAGATATTTACCGAAGGTATTCCAGATTCCCTACTTGAAATCCTTAGTATCGACAATGGGAAAACCTTCGAAAAAATTACTGCAAATCTTGGGGAGGAAATTTATATAAAACGTGAGAACGGCCTTCAAACACGGAAAATTTATCATCGAATGAGAAAAGTACGTACTCGAGTGATAGCGTGATGGAATTTAGTAAAGATTTATGTTATTTGTCATGACCCGCACGACAGAAATAATTCGCTTATCTATTCGACTGTTGACTCTGGGAGGCATTGGAGGAAATCCACATTACCATTTATTTTGAATGGGAAGCTTAAGTTTGCTCCTCGTGATTCTCAGTCCAATCTAGTGCTTACTTTAGAAGTTCATACAAAAGTAAGTTTTGACTTCATGTTTGTAACTCCATCAACCAGTCTCTTTTTGTTTCCCAGGATGGTGGTATCACATGGGAATTGGTATTGCGAAATGTCCAGGAATGTTTTTGGTCTAGCTTTAACGTTGATAGCAAAAGCTCATTGTATGCCCTCCATGGAAAGGTTGTTAAAAAATGTGAGTTCGGTATTGTTTTTGTTTAAATAATTTTTCCCTGTAGTATAGAAGGGAAACTTTATAAATGGTCGCTTTATAATAACTCATGTTAATCGAGGGAGACGCGGATTCTTTATTTTCAGTTGATCAAATTCATTTATTCTCAAATAACACTTTTAATGCCTTCCACAGCCACTATATTCATAGACCTTCAATTTACTCTTATTTCAGTTAACAATCGACCTATTATGTCCATATTTTTCACTGCAGCAACCGGTAACCGAGGCGCTTTTACTCTCTCCAAGTCTGAGGACAGTGGGAAAAATTGGAGAGTCATCTTGGTAAATGTACGTAAAATCTGGGCCCCTGAGGTTATGCGAAGTGACGCTGATCTCGAGGAAGACTCCGGAAGATCACAGTACGAGCCTTCCGGACGTTTCCTCTACGCTGCTCACTTTGCTGATGAGGAGAGGAATCTTCTTCAACTCAGCGTGTCCGATGACGGTGGAAATAGCTTCCGGCGTGTTTATCTTCCCACCGTTTTTTCTGATCAAGTGAGTTTTTATCTCTTAAAATGAGATGCCTAGCATAACATGATTTGGTCATGAATCAATTCAAATTTGAATTCGTTTCTTTACTTCTAAATATATTGACTTCATTAAGTTCTCACTTTGTCTGAGGGTGATAGCATGATTAGCTACTTGTCATTTAGCAATGCTAACGGTAGCCGTTAGTTGTAGAAGTTACCTTACCGGAACTTTCAAATCTTAGTCTGATGCTAAACATAGGGTTGATTTTAAGTTTTAGAAAGCGTTTTATTTTAGCTGAACTAATGAGGAAAAAGCCGGATCTAAGCCGTCACTGAATTATTTGTACATCCTTTCAAAGATATAAATACGATGCTGTACAAACTTTAGAGGATTTTTTAAGATTTCATATTTTCTTTAATTCTCTGTTTAAGTGTTTATCTAAATTTTGTGCTTAATTATGACTAGTTTGAACTCATTTCACACAAATTTTTTTCCTTGGTATAGTTCTTTAGTGTGCTAGAAATCGAAAAGGACTGTGTATTTCTACATGTCGACGAACCTGGTGGTGAGTTGTTTTATTGTGAAGTAGATTTATCTCGAATATTCCTCGTACTGATGCATATTATAGAAAAGTTCCACTCTCCTTCAACGCGGCTTCACTTGCGCTTCTGCAACAGTGTATTTTGAGCTTTTAGACGTGTTGATGAACTGTATTGTCGGTGCCGCACCCGGTTTTGCGCCGGCTGCTGTTTCAGCAACACGACGGTTGTTGAAACTAAAGTTGGCTGAATATGTTACATTGTGAACATGCGCTTAGTTGGCTCACCTAGATAATGCGGACGATGGTAGCGGTGCTGATTGCGTTCACTATGAAAAAAAAGCAGCTTTTCTAGAACGTTCATATTCACGTTGGTAGTGCGACCTTAATCCAAACTGCGAATCCGGTCGTTGGCCTTACTCTACTTTCTTTTTTTCGCGCAAAACGGATTTGTCTTTCGCATGAGCATGTGAGTTTGTAAGAGATGATAAATATCTGTTTAAAAGTCCTTTTTTCTTAGAATTCGTACGGTGATTTTCCCCAAATTATGTACGTCGGTTTACTATTGCCCAACCACATAATCACTTAATTGTGGAATACGCAAGCAGTTTCAATCTGCTGCCATGTGATGAGTTTATTCGATATCCATCCCGCTGAACACTTCTACCACTTCAGTGTTTCTATGTTGGTTTTTTCGCCACATAAAGAGAGGATTATGCTTGCATCCAATTTAAAAGGAGTACTAGGTGCCCAGTTTCTCTGTTTATATTCTTCAGAATATCTATAATTCATTTTCTTTCCATAGCTTTCGAGACAATAATTTTGAGTTGTAATAGAAGTGTGAAACCTGTGCCAATATATTTTGAGATTTGCAGATAAATGAACAATCTACTTTTCTTCAGTACACTAGTATTTTCGCTACTTTCTAACTGTGCGAAAGATTAATGTCCAGTACACATTTAATAGAACTTTTTGTATTCAAAACTTACAAAATTTTATTCACTTGCCTAGAAAATCTAATGCTTACATTCTAATCTCAGAAAGGGAGATGTGGGAAAGTATATTGAAATTTACCGCCTCTCTTATTGTTATAAAACCCAGAATTACGTGAGCATTCTTGTCGCGTAACTACTTTCCCATACCTTTTAATTTTCTACAACTGAGAGGTGTGTTATGATTTTGTTTTTGTACCTTAATTGCCAAAATCTTTTTTTATTTAAACTTGAGTCCTGCAAAGCGCTGCCTACTTCAGCCTTTTGCATTGATGTGTCTCTCTACCATCCATTTAGCAAGTAGTATGTCATCACCCATTTGTTTCACCCTATTATACATCGCAACTTACTTTCTACCGCCCAAAGTGTCTGCATGAAAATTGCTTAAGGGGAGTTGGCAGATTCATTGTTTCACTTTTTGCGCGCATGGTTCTCAAAGAATTAATCATTATTATTTCACGCGAAAAGTCTTATATTTACTATATTCCGTTTCGTGTGGCTGTTGATTCGGGTAGAATAAAGGTTTACCTTTGATTTCTAAGGGTTAGTCACAAATAATCTTGACAGAGGTGTACCAGTTTTGAAGAGACATTGAGTTGTTAAAAGTAGGGATTAGAAGACACTGAAGGTTAATACTCATACTTGAATGTCTACCTTTTCCTAGACACTGGCCATGGCATCCTGTACGTCTCGGATAGCACAGGAACCGTGTTCACAGAGTCACTGAGACGTCACTTCTACCCCAATCATGCCACCGTCACTGACTTTTTCCGCATCCTCTCCATTCCTGGCACTTTCCTGGCCACCCAAATGAACCCTGACACCACCCTGCGAACTGTCATCACTCATGATCGAGGCTCCACCTGGCAACCTCTTCCCGTGCCTGAGGGACTCTCCTGCGACCTTCCCTCGCGGGGCAAGATGATTAGTGAACAGGCTGAAGTAGCCTCCTCAGATTCCGCAGCCTCTGCGCAGCCTCTCAAGTCTGTTGCTGTCAACGTCTCCGGTAGAGCTTTTGAACTCGTAAGTCAGGTTGTTAGAATTAATGCCAGGATATCTTCTAGGTATTGTCTGTTTAAATTGGCGGTAAGGAAAAGTAGACTTTATCTAAAGCATGGATTCAGTTTTTGCCTGTTACAGTGAGCCGAAATTCCCTTTTCACTCGTATGCCTATTTGTAAGCATTTAACAGCAAATGAATTTCAGCTCATTCACGGTCTACCAGTTTCCTTATAGGGCGCTTTATTTCTACAAACCCATTTTGCCATCTTTATTAAAGCTATTTCTCTTCAACACGTCCTAAGTTAGTGGCTTCTAAACCAAATTTTGCTCATTAATCTGTTGATTCCTCTTATAAATAGGTTCGTCATTTCTTTTAGTGTAAAAGAAAAAGGAGAATAGGTATGGACGGTTTTCCACATGTTAGACCTTTGTTCTGTTTTTTAGAAAGCCAAAATTAATGGACTCATATTATCCCCTCATCCACGGAATCATCCTGATAAACTTTCACTTAACATTTTGGTTTTTAATCAGGAACTCGGTATCAATTTGAGTCAGAAGCAAAAAACCTGTACAACTGACGGAAATGAGGAAGTGAATGCTAGCAAATGGAACGTTTATGCCTTACAACTGCTCTATTGATGTGTAACTTAATAGGCGCCGCCTAAATAGTGTTGATTAATCGGATTGCCTTACATATTCAAGATTAGAAAAGTCATTTGCAAGTGCTTCATTTGGCGTATATCGTTTCACGACCATTATTAGCATCGTCCTCAGTGGAACATAAAGGTCTTCAGCCCACGCTGCAGTTATAAGTGCCAAAAGTCTCCATGAATTAATTGTTAGTAATCTGTAAAGGTTCTAGACGCTGTTTCCTTTAGCACAATCTCTCATCTAGGCCATATTTAAACACCTATTAGCAAAAAGCGAATTCGGGTCCTAAAAATGGCGATCTGCTTCTTTAGCGTTCCGTCAATCATGGGATTGAAACTCCTGTTTGTACTTCCAATAAAGTCAGTAGTTTTACAAGTTCGACCAACAAGTGTAGAGGCTGGCTTAATTTGTTGGGTAATTTTTCAAATTGTTGACAGCAGTAAAATGGCTTTTTTTTCTTAGCATGCTGTAATAGGTTCAACGTTTATCCCTTTCGCCTTGGTCTTCATACCCTTGGAATGAATAGACGTGTTAAATGGGGACATGCTCTATTGGGTAGCGATTATGAAAGGGATATAGATATTGCGGGTTAAGCTTGCTGGAAAATGTTTCCTCTTCGGGGGTCGATGGCGTCCGATTCAACACAAGGTTTAGACTTTCTCCTTACCATATTGTTCTCACTTCAGAGCTCCCCGCTCATCTATCTGGATTCTATCTAGCCAGTAGGGAAGTGAAGGAGGTTTCCCATTTTCGCATTTTTGATAACGTCATACAGGAACGGCTGACAGCTCCATAAGGTACATTTTCGGGTGGTTCATGGCAAATGATGCTTCCGTTGTTAATAGCTTTCCTGCAGTCCATGGTACTGGGATAGTTGCCAAAGGTAGACATCATTTTCAGCCCTTCTGTTATGAGTCGTCACCAATTCTCTCATCCGCAGCATACGCACTTCTTCCGCCCCGCTAGGGTTTATCACCCCACAGTAGAAATCAAGATAAATGCCCACCATTGTGGCGCCCCGAGACTTCCCTGGAGACGAAAGAAGCTATTATACTCGGATGTAATACATGGCCCGGGAGCCAGCTCACCCGGCGAAGGCACAATGGCGGAGACCCAAAGTGGTACCTTTACCAAAACCGAAAGTCAAACAAGCAGGCTACGTATTGCGATGTTGCATTGTTATTTTTGCTAATCTACAATAAATAAAACGGTGGTGGATTTTATTTTCCTTTTGCTAGTCTGCTCCTCACTGCCACTTGTCGAAAAAGTTATCCAGGCCATCATTTGTTAAGTCTTTTAGGCTTCCACCTTTTAGTTATTGACTTGTTTGATTTGCAAACTGTTGTTACTTATTTCATCATTTCGCCCATCTATTTATTCGGGGGTTTTAATAATTCACAGTCGATGGGAATGCTATATTTCAGGCATTAACACGAGGTGAGCGTATATTTCGGTTATACTATGGTGAGTTTTATGTCTTCAACGATTTTTTATTGAGCTATCTTGATAGTATACCTACTCTAGGGTTCTTCCAAAGTGAAAACGCTATCGAAAAGGGATATGTGTGCCATGTCTAGTTTATGGAGTACTGGTGTATGTTGGACAAGCTATGAACATTCGCCTAACTTGAGTTTATACTAATACTCAATCCCCGACTAGAAACTATAAGTTTGACTGCATGAATTTCCGTTTTTTGGAAGTTAGGGGGTCTTTTTTTCTAGAAAAAAAGTCAACAACTGTCCTTTTTACTTTCTTCAGAGTTGGTACTAGTGGAAAAGCCTAAGTAAATTAGTTTTATCAGAATTTTCAAGCAAAAGTATATGTAATTATGTAATCTCCACAGCCGGTAGAAAAGCATCATCTTTAAGAGGTTTTATGCGGAAATAGGTCATACTGATGTAATATCGATTTCTGTTTCGGTATGTAAATTTGGGTGATTCCTACAGCTATCATCAGCTACTCAGTTCTAATCCACTGGGACACTGCGAAGAATTACTGGGATATTGTGCACCACCCTGCTATTGCTCTCTAAATGACATGCGATAAAATATCAGTCGAATGGAAACCCTCTACTCTGCTACCGGTTAACATCACCAACACCTGGGATGAAGTTTATTCAGCCGCTTGCCCACCTACCTGCTTGGCCAACTGGTGACTGACTGAATGAATGAATGAGGAGTGGCTGCATATTTGCTCCCGGTAATTGCCGTCTCCTATTAATCGGGACACTTGTGAATAACCCCAGTACGTGGGCGCGTCTATGTGAATCATGTGGGATGTGAGGGGAGGAGGTAGTGGTGGCATTGATATCGATAACGATCAGGTTAAACATCATGCCACGACAATCCACGACATGGAAGTTGCCTAACTCAAAACTCGAAACCCACTTACCTCAACTTTGCACGAATGCAAGAATACTCAACGGAGCTGAAATTTTATGATAAACGTATCGTGTTTTGATTTAAAAAAAAGTTTGATGGGTAGACTTACAAGAATCGTGAAAAAGCATCCTATCTGGATAAAGTGCAAACATTGAGGTCAAACGACCCTCATGGTATTGGGTGGTGTTGAATTTAAATTCCGAGAAAGGTCCTTTCAAATTATTAAAATAACGCTCTTATGCAATCCTTTCATCAAAGAGATTTGGAAAATGTATTGAGGATCAGTGAAATTTTGAATCCATACAAACTTTCCTTACGTTGTCTGATGGCATGCTTCTAAGGTGTGAAGGAGCGACAATATAGATTGCTACCGTCTAAAACTTACGTCTGGTTTTTGGAAAATGGGAACGTTAGCGACCGTGTCCCTGGGCCAGGTTACTATCGCTCTCGTGGTTTTGCTTACACCCTTTCATCGCCCCAACAAATGTCAAGTGGGGATGTGGCGGGCTTAACGACGATGGCCATGGAGATGTGTTTACTCACCCTCTAGGTGTGTGGATTGCAAGTGAGTAACCAGTTTAGCCTCCGGAAACGTGTGGTCGCTTCACCGCCCTTGGCAACATCAACGGCTCGTGGGCTGATCCTTGTACATGGACATGTCGCCACTCACCTCAAAACCATTCCTGCCGATGTCTTCATCTCTGTCGATGGCGGATACACCTGGCACAAAGTAGGTCTCAGTTTAATTTTTCCTTCTCTCGCATTTTGTTATTCCGATATATTCGCTTAGAGCTATAGTAAAACCCACCTGAAAGTGTCTTCCGTTAGCAGCTGGATTAAAGGACAGGTAACTTATTTAGTTGTAGTAGAATTTCCCAAATGACCTCCGTCTTTTCTCGTTGTTTTACGGGAATTACTATCTCTGCTGAAAATTTGTGTAGGGAAGACGACTGAGGTTAGCCGAATTGAGTGCGGTGTTTCCAGACAGCACCATGAGCCACGGATTTGCGTGATTTTGCTTTTTTTTTTGATTTTCATTCTAATTTAACTTTGCTTAGGGCCTCTTATTTAGTAACTAATGGAGATTAATTTGGCAACTAAATTTGCTCCCAACGTTCTCACTGAACTTTGTTTTTAAGTATTTCTCGATCTGTGTCCACATTCCGTTGTCAATATAAAGCTCTCAGGGAATTTATGAAAAATTCTAATGAAGAAAGTGAAGGTTTTCTAAAACACTACATCTTTTAGTACTTCTTTCCTGGTTGTCAATGTTCTTCAAATGCTCGTTTTGTTTTTTATGATATTTTTCTACTCTCCAAGAATGAAATACTTTAAAAGTTTATTCTAGTGAGTTTGTCTAAACACCTCTCTTCTACAGTTTCCGTTAAAGTTAAAGCCAAATTAGTTTTTTTTCAAGAAATACTTTTGTGTTATATATTTCAGATATTTCTGTCAAATATGCTTTGCTAAATTCCACCTTAGATTTGCAAACACTAACTCATAATAATACTTTGCATAAAGCGAAGGCGTAGATCCATTTTTTTGACTTATTTCCTGGTCGCTAATGCTTTTTGGTAAACACTGCAAATGTCATTTTCGTGTTTACAGTGTTTGGCTGAGTTTACTTTGAAATATGGTCTCTGAAAGGTTGGAATGAGTGTCGTGAATTTTTTCTAGGCTCCAAATGAAGCCTAGGCAGAAGTGAAAATAGAGTATTTTAAGAGACCTTGCTAAAGCATAGTTGTTTTGTTATTTTTTTGAATCGATTCGCCTAGTTAAAGGTGGGCAGAGTGAAATTTCCTCCTACCGCCTAAGAACTAGGAAATTAATTTTTCTAATTTTGCAAAAATAGCATTTTTTTCTCCTATTTTATGCCCACAATACCAAGACAATCTCACGCTTACGTCTTTCCAACTTTTAACGAAGGAGCATGCATGGAAGCCTCCGATTCAAACGAATGCTTCGACAGCCTCCCCCAAAGCCCTAGATCTTGTCTAGGGTAGTGTCAGAGGAGTAGTACTAATGGTGATCACAGCTGTCCTTTGTGGGTTTGAATTCATTGGCGTGTGTGTGTGTGTGTGGGAAAGTCCCATTGGTTGAAAAATAAGTGCCTCAGACATGCTAATGACTGCGTCCTTCCACCAATTTTCCTGTTCATGATCGAGAGTGTGACTCAGTGGGTTCTTTATCACTTCACGCCTACAGAAGTTTTTTTTTGCACTCGGAGGGGAAATAACAAAAAATCACATCTTTGTCCGCGATGTCATCTTTGGTAAGGCCCAGCCTGACTGTTTCTTCCTTATTGAAAATTGAAAAAGTCATTTCCCTTCCCACAAATCAATTTTGATTTTGCTTGTTAATCTTTATTTATCTGGAGCTGCAACTTATTGGACGTATCTAATGCCTTCAACCTTATTTCGCATAAATTGTCGAAGGTTGCGTTTCCTAACATCCTAGTTTTGGTCTTGCGGGTTTCAGTCTGGGCCAAATGCAAGAGGAATCGCTGGCATCTTTTTTTCGAAATGTCAATTAGTGAGAGAACAGCTCAACTGTGATTATTTTTCACCACCTTAATAAGCTAACAGTCTGCTATTGCCTCAATAATAAAAAGATTTTCACCAAATGAAATTTGCTTGTATTTAAAGATGAAAGCTTTGGATTCGTCCATCACTTAAACTGGGTCAATAAAATCCCAGATAATATCCTGCAACGATCTAATAAATGGAATTAAGGTACAGCGAAAATGATTTCATGTGTTGACATTGCTAAAAATGTTAATGTACTCCCTGTTAAATATTTTGTGCTGATAAAATTGAAACTATTATTCTTATACTGTAGGATTCCCCACATATTTGTCCGGAAACTAAGCATTTTTGTGTTCTGGTAAATCTCACATTTTCCCTATCCTGTAGTGAATTTTAACTCACATCAAAACATTGAAATTTTCGAAAAAACCTTTTTAATTTTAAAATTTTCCGAACGCAAATTTCCCTCCTATTTTAGGGATATAGATTGTAATTTAGTTTAAATCCTCACTAGCTGTTTTATGATTCTCTAGAATGTTCCCACAGTTTTTATAACCGTAGATTTCAGTGTGCTCTTATGACAAAAATAATTTAGTTGTGAACGTTTTTTTGCCAAATTTTTCCCAGTTACGCAAACTAATGATTATTGCTAGTTTCGTTCGTTTCTTTGCTGTTTCGATTTCATCAATTATTCACTTTATTTAAAAATTCTACACAGAGTTTCCTGTTTACTGGTGCAGTCAACGCGGACATGAAGTAGCTTTAACTTGTCCCACTACTTCAGACTCCATGTCAGACTCAACGAGGACGATGTACGTACACATACGACTAAAAGCCATCGCAGGCAAGCTTTTGTGTCTTCCGCATTCGCTCGTCCTCTTCCCCAGTGGCAAGCTCGAGGCTCGTTTTAAGTAAAACTCCAGACTCAGAGCAATTTCACTTTCGTCAAGTAAATTGCTTCTAGCTGCTGCATATTTTTACTATGCTTACGGGTAGAACTGCAACTGCTAGAAATTTACCCACGGATATATTCTTATCTCGTAGATAGGCGTAAAATTTACTCAGCACAAACATCAGCACAATCTCTGGTAGAGACCCAGCAACTAATGTTATCAGAAATGGCAGAAATATCTTTGAGAGTAGGTAGAAACATCCGTGTTTTGCTTTTAGGGATTGGATGGACCGCACCACTACCAGATAGCAAATCGAGGTGGCCTCATAGTCGCTGTGCCCGCAGATACCCTTTGGGTGGACATTTTGCGTTTCAGCACAGATGGAGGTCGCTGCTGGCACAACATCCCCCTCACACCTTCCATTAAACCTGCTTTTGCAGCCGTGGATAAGAAAATTGATGAGGTCTCTCCATCACCACCGACGAAACAGTCGATCTTCTCAACGGACAGGGCCACGCTCCAGACCACGTCTTCCCTTCTGCTTATGGAGGAGGAGACGATTGTGTTCACCGGCCTTGTCACCGAGCCTGGTGGCCACGCGATGACTGTGGCGGTCTACGGCTACGGTACGGTCAGTCAGCGCTGGCGTGTGGCTGTTGTCGATTTTGCCAGCAACGGGTTCATCACAAAGAACTGTAAGTTCACGACCTGTTTATTACCCTCACGTAGTCGTCGTGTTGTTTGTCTGCTACTGTATGTGTGTGCCAGAGGGAGGATCTGATTGTTTATCCTACCTGGTGCCACCACTAATTTAGCCTGTGTCACATGCTTACAAGCGCGAGGGCTTAACCTCACGAGCGAAAAGTCCGTGCAATGACATGAGGTTATTTGGAAACCAGAGGCTACAAGTTTTTGGGACAGGCGTGCGGTACACTTCACGCAAAACGCCATTAGTTATGCTCGAAAACACGGGAATTTCCCCACCATGCTAGTGTGGCATGCTAGCTATGTCGGTGTTGGTGGGCAGGGTTTGTTAAATTTAATTCACAGTGTTTGTTCGACTAAATATGCTTTTTTCGGTTAGATGAAGATTGTGTTTTTTTGGCAAGCAATCTCGAATGAAAAATGATAAGTTTCATTGTAATATGGTTATTAGATATATTTAGATTTGTATTATGCCAACCGCAGAAACACTAAAAGCATTATTCATTAACGTGTGACGAAGCTGCGCCAACTCAAACGAAAATAATTACCTCATTGTTTACCAGAGTTCAGTTGTGTGATTGTCCGAGTGAATGAACAAAAGGTATGTGTTTTCCTCTCGGACAATAACTAGCCATTCGTTTGTTTATTCTGTTTGAACGGTTGCAACTAGCTTAAATACGGAAATGTGCTTGCTGAGGCTTGTTATCATTGAAAATGCGTAAAACAATTTGCCTTATTCCCCAGATAACGTCCGCTTTGGTTTTATTTTTGGTTTTCTGTTCCTAAATTATATTCTGCATGATACTCAAAGTTAGAAAATGGTCAATTAATTTGAGTGCTCTCTTTATTACTGAACGTTTCCTTGCACATTTTACTCCACCGAATCATAAAGTGGAATTCTAAACACCCCATATTCGAAAGCCAGGCGTGGCGGTTTTCCTATGCTTGCATTGACGAACGTTTGAAGTAGATGGAGACTGGTCTGTTCCACTCACATTCATCGGCTTAAGCAGATTTGTCCAACGGGACGTTAGATTTTCAACATTCTTGTCTCTCATTCATACGTTAACGAAAAGAAAAACGGTTGCACTTTTCGAAGGACGATATATGAGAGGACTTTTTGGTTGCGTGGATTAAAGTTAGTAAATTGGACTTTGCGCTTAAACAATGAAGGCACTATTTTCTTATGAATATGTGTTTTGATGTTTTAAAAAATGTAGCAGCTAATTTCCAAGCACTTTTAGTTTCACCTCAGTCCACCTAAATAAACGAGCAAGAAGACCGCTTTTCAAGAGAACCCCTGTCTACCCATTTTAAACGCCCATGTCATGTAAAAATACACAAAAGATTTCGAATTGATTATTACCTATCCGATTGCATTTAATGACGATAGATAGGTATTTCTTTTAACACCCATTTTCTAATAAAAAGCGTCAATAATAAATTGAACGTCAGTTTTGGGTGAAAACACCCTTAAATTTCAAGTGAACTTAATTAGGAGGGGTATCAGAGCCCTTTGATTCCTTGAGAATGGTCAAAATTCACTTTCGAAATCAAGCAGAAGTCAAGACCGCAAAATGTCGTGTCGATATTTTCTTCTTCATCGAATCCTGAGGAATCCGTTCTAATTGATAAACGGTGGCAGTCTTTCCATGGGAAAATTTGTATTTCGGGTGTTCTTTTCCTCCACCCTACGCATGACCTTCATGATACTGTTTACCCGCAGCTTGTTTACATTTCTGTCAACCCGCATCCAGCAGTACGCCTATTCGTACCAAACATCTGTCAGCCGGTGTCACACCGGGTCAAGCCCTTCAGGCGAAATATGCATCCATAATACTGCCTGTTTTTTGCCGCTTATTAAGGCACCGTTGAGGACTACGATCTCTGGTATCCTCATCAGACTGGCGTCAAACACAATGATCCTAACGACGGCTGCTTACTTGGTGTTCGGGAGACATCCTATCGGCTGAAGGAGAATTCTCTGTAGGTTTAAGTGCGATGACCTTCCTCTCTCCCGCTCAATAAACTCTTTCACATGATTCCTTCAGTCGCTACACCTGGATTCCCAATAGCATAGTTTGTTTTAGGCCTTTTTATGACTGATTTATGCTGTAAAAATGGGGTTATTGTCTTACAGTAAGACAATTGTTGAGAATGCAATGTCAGTTGAACTTGTTGGCACTAAAAATCGTACCAAGTTTCATGCATGGTCATAGCACGACTTGTAGCTCCAGAACGCAAAAACTTTTAGACCTGGAATGCCCCAAAAGATCGCTCAGGCAACACAGCAGGCTTATAAGCTTGTCCAGATGCTAATACCTTTTTCTGTTTTGCTGCAGTGTACTGTTTTTTAAACCCATCCCTTCATGAAATCTTAAAAGTGCACATTTTTGCTTTTAAAGATGCTTCTCAAGATCAGACTTCCGATCTCTCCAGTCCTATGAAATTTGCTCCTGCACGGAACAGGACTACGAATGGTAAGATAGTCCCATCCACCATTTCCACGTTGGTGCCTTATTACTTAAAAACATTAGTAAAAGGATATATTTTTGTATGTGGAAACCTACTTCAATTGCAAGCAAGCGTTAAGTGAAATGTTAAGCAAATTATGTTACGACTTGTCTCAGATGCCCTTTACTGATTTCATTTTGCAACCGTGGAGTAATCCACAACGGTTTATCAAAAGCTTCAAAATCACCCATCAAATGGACAGGACATTCCAGAGCGATTAGGTTTTATACCACCCCTAATGATGGTTTTCTCGTTGCCCTGTGCTTGTTTGCAAAACATCTGGATTTGGCTACTTAAATCGTCGCTAAAACATTGTTCCTATTGATAAATTAACAACTCATAAATTTGGTGTTTCGCTTCGTGAAACTCATTTCATATAAATAGTCAAATAGTAAAGGCATTTAAGCTTTCTTATCAGATCGTCAAAGTATGTTATTAATCAGTCAAAATGTCTAATTGTTTTTCCTGCTTTATGTGATTTCCATGACTTTTTTCAGAACTTCTACTTTTTGGCATTTTTACTTTGCCACTTGAAGACATGTTACAGGCAATTCTAGGGCATTTTTTGATTTATTTATCATCATATGCCACCAAAGTTTGGGTTAAACCATTGCGAATTTTGAAATACTGATTTGGTAATCTTTCTGTAAGCTCTAGCATGTCTAATTGGCCATCATTTTTTGCCTCAAAAGCAACAGCTCAGATTTTCATATCCCTTTTCATTTGTGTGAGCATACCTTTTTCTTCATTAGGTACGCTACTTATTAATTATTATTATCAAAACGGGCCGTTAAAAAGTGGATACAGATTTTATCATTCGTGGTTGCTGTCTTTCATTTTCCAGCATATTTAAAGTCTACGCAAAAAATAATAAAACTCAATAGTTTTGGAAGTAATGTTGTGTTATCGAAACATATCCGTGTTCCAAGAATAATATCTATCAGTTAAATTTTGTGGTTATTTTGTAGCTCATCTTGCGCGACTTGTTACCACCCTGGAGAAGGGATCTTCGATCCCTTTGACTGATATTCACCACAAAATTTATGCTTCTCCAGCTTTTGCGCATTTTCAAAGCGAATTACTTCATTTTAAGAGAGATTTTTTGTGTTTAGATTATTCTTTTAGGCATTATAGGCATCCATCACTTCGATTATCTGAATTTTAGCACATACGGCTACTGGCGCGAGCTGGATGGTGATGGTAAATGTGTAGTGAATCCCCATGCCCCTCCTCTTGACGTTTGTGAACTCTTGGGTCAGAAGGTGGCTCCACACCTCCTCGAAATGATCGGCTATCGCCTAATCCCAGGCGACCGTTGTCAGGGGGGTTGGCAGCCTCCATACTCCAATTATACTTTCGAGGCACTCGCCAGCCACTGCCCTCCTAAGCCGAAGCCAGTAAGTTGAATTTGTGGCCTTGTAATGAGTTCTTTAATGCTCTTTGGCCAGTTACAAAAGAAGTCGAAATTGTAATTTTACTGTCTTTTCATGATGACTTAGCCTGTAGACTATTCTTTTGACCCGGAGTGTCAGTTTCCGGCTTCCACACTGGTCACTTCAGTAGATGATCATGTGGATTGTTTGTTCAAAAGTAACAGGTCTAGTTTACCTATTTGCATCACTTATTTACGTTGCCTTTGTTCTCCAAATGTTCTTATGGGACTAGAGTCTGATACGCGCTATCCTTGAAGATGAAATAGATTAGATCAGATTGCTCTATTCTCAGAATGTTTTAAGTTAGTGTAAAGTAAAAGAAGCCTATTGCTTTAATTTTCTTATTTATTACTTCAAATTTGGTTTTATGAACTTGGGAGATGCTGTTCACGTTCCAAACTACTGGGAAACTTTCCTTAACTTCCACAATTAGTTTATTTCACATATAGTTCTGTGACATCTTATAATATCCGTCATAATAGTTCCTGCTTCCAAGTTTTTCAGATCTATCACTCGCTCAGAATGTTGAGGAATATTCTTGAAAAATGAATGACTCCATTTTGGACCCTTGTTCAGCTCAGACTTGGAGGAGGCTTACAATTTCTGTATCTCTCATTAAGTTATGATTCCTCATTTCACAAGCCAACTGCGCAAGCTTAGAGCGTGCCGTTTACACTTTTAAAGATGTTGAGATTCCTTAAACAACCAAATCTGTTCACCTCACTGTTTATTCTTACGATGGCTTGCCTATGGTTTAAATGAACATGCTGCTTAGTAGAGATAGAGGCAGTGATCTTATCCGGAATTGGTGAATCAGACTCTCCCAAACCGGATCGTACGACCATTCATACTACTATTAATACTTTGTTCTGGCGCTTCTCATTATTTGCCATTTGAGAATAATACTTTTCATTCAAACAAACTAGTTTTTGTCGAGTTTGTGTTGCATCTTTCAGGATCAGAACGGATGGATTAGGAACTACTAATGTGGACAGAATCTAGGATACCACAAGAACTTTATGAGTCTCGTTTTCATGATGGTGTCTTAAGTAGGTGTGATCTATGAATACTTCTATTCGAGAGACAATACTATTTATCTATTCAAGTGAGTTAAGACCAATCCTCCAACTGTTCGGTGCCAATTTATCACCGTTGTTATCTTGGTAACTTGAGTCTTAAAAATAGCTGAATTTGTGAGCTATCCTTGAAGTTTGTGAATATGTTATTTGTTTTAAGGATTTAATTTTTTCCCTGCTTAGTCAGATTTCATATCGGCCGCTGTTTGGCGGCAACACAATCCTTGCCTTAATCCTGAAAATTACCTTACAAAATGTGCTGACCGGTTTTACCTACTCCTAGTCGACATCGATAAAATAAACGAATCTATCTTTTTTATAACATAAGCTAATTTCCCTCATTACTTTTATTATAAACAACAAGCAAATAATGCAGTCGTTTTCATCGGTAATTTTTGTCATAACAAAGTATACTCCGAACGTGTTTATATAAAATTTCTGAATCTGAACTTAAAACAAGTTTAATGGTTCACAGTTCACATCCAATTTATCATCGTGATAGCTAAGAGAAGTGCTTGTTTTATCTTATGCACAAGAGTTTACCTAAATCCTCTAATATAATGAAATTCTGCTGGAATCCGATTTAAAGCGTGCTTTAGAAGTGGCGTAATTTTCCATCTTCCTTTAATATCAGTGGAAGGTTCCAATCATTTTCTGCTTCCACAAGCCAGGAAGTTTGAGCTTAAATATTAACGTTTTTCCTCAGTTCATGGAATAAAGCTTACTGTTGTTTTTTTAGCGTGAGTCATCTAATTGTAGAATCATCCGTGCTTTTACTATTCTAGTGCTTTGTTTGCAAGTCCATTCCGTTTCTTAAATTTAAATAGCATTTATGGGGGCATTCTAAGGGTGTCTTTCCTCCCGTTTAGTTTGGAACAGCAACCAAATTTATGGTAGTAGTAGTCGCGTTGACGATCTTCTTTGCCTTTGTGGGAGGGATCGTCTGGTCCCGTCGCAGAGCTGTTATCTTTTCTAATACGTCGCTTCGGCACAGACGCTTCACAGAGATCTTCTGTCGCCACCCGCGGCACTCCCACCTTAGTGCTAGCAACGACTTCAAGACAAATCGCCTTGTTTCCAACACCGTTTTTTATGCCGGCGGCGACTTTGCCATTGCCAAGACAGTCGCATCCCCTTCAAGCACTTCTCACCATCTGACACAAAAGCAGTCGGAAGACCGGTTTGAGCTGGTGGCAAACGAGGAGTTGTTTGCAGATGAGGATACTTTTCCTCCTGACTCAATGAATGGTCACTCAACAAGGAGTGAACAAGGTAAGTTTCAATTAATTCATAGCACAAATGCAAGGTATCTGCCCATCCACATTTGCATTTTGTTCGTCTTCTCACGTAGGTCGCATGGACGATTTGCTCTATTAGGCGTATCGCGAATGTTTGATTGACGAACCAATTTCCATTTGTCCTCCTAATCCTCCTCCTTGATTCGGTATTGGCATCGTTTTTAAATACGAACTTTTCATACTCCCGATATGAAATATACGTATTTTGTGTTGAAGTTAAGTCCGCTCTTGATTTGTCTTTGTCAACCGAAGTACATGATTACTACTTTACTTCGTCAAGATGGCGTGGTTTTGAAGTTATCGAAATTTCTAAGAAGGCAAATAATTTATTAAATGTAGGTTGGACGTAATCTTGTGTCTTTTGAAAACCAGGCAGTATTTGTGGCAGTTCATTGTGATCGTGGGGTAGTCATAACTACAGATTTGCAGTTAAATTGCAATTTTAAATTGTAATCGCAATTAAATTGCAAAAATTATACAGTAGGAACCATTTCAACTTATCATTCCTGTTAATTAATTCGCAAACAGTCACTAAATAATCACTTATCTTAATAAAATAAGGATCACTGCAAAATAATAAGATAATATCACTTACAGAGCAGTCGATTTTGCAAGAAATATAAAGTTGATCTAATTCCGCGGGATTTTATGACTAGACGTCTAGATTGATCTGGAACTAGACTCGTTCTCCAACTTTTGAGTACCTTTTTTATCCACTTTTAGCACAAATTACTACCAAACTTTTGCACTTCACGGGAGTGGCATGTACGTAGCACATTTTCACCGGTCATAAAATAGACTTGTGCTCTACTGGCGATAAATAAAGAAAGTTAAAGTAATCCAAAGCGTTATTTGTTATCTACCGCAGTGTTTAAGTCGCTATTTCGTGATTATCTTGTTGGGAAAGCGTAAGTCAAAGGGAATGATGGACCACTTCTTGAACTGCGTAACCTGAGAATAAGTACGTAATGTATTCAAAGTGGGTAGCAGAGCATTTAAAGACCATCTTCTACATAAGAGAACAAAGCAGCCACTTATATGATCAAAGGATTTCTATGGGAACTGTGCGCTAAAAGAAAGAAATGGGAACTTGCTGCTACTATAGCTTATTGTGATTCATCTCTTTCAACCTACTGCAAAGGGGGAACACTTATAATTGATCAATTTAGACAGACGTGTTCTTCAGGCGCTGCAGACTTCATTTACGATTCTGCATACGTGCGTTATTTTTATGCCAGTTCTGTTAATTAGCAAGTGGTATTGTAACACTAATTGTTTGCTTAACTCTTGATTTTTGGTAACGGACCACTTAGGGGCTCCGCCATTGTACATCTGCCGAGCAGTCTGGCCTTTGGGCCATGTCGGTAGCCCCCAGGCACTTCTGTGGGCGGCAATACTCATTCTGCCAGAGCATTGTCTTCTTTAGTCTTTAGGGTAGTCTTGGGGCTCTACACTGTGTTTGCATACTTTCTATAGTTCCGTCCGAAATTCTACGACCATATTATTAAGAGTTTAGCATCGATCTAACTACTGATGGCGTACAACAACAATAAGGTGCAAAAATAAAGAACAAAACTGCTTCTTGATTTTGTGGTCTTAAAATCTAGTGAGCTGATAAATGATTTAGAGTCCTACCAAAAGGAATGAAATTTCAGCTTCTGCATTCCACTATTGCGCCCAAAGGCATGTCTTCCAACTGCGTTTATGGCTTCCCTACCAATCTGTGCTTTAGAAAATGAACATTGCAAACTGGCACAGTTTAGCACCTCCCAAGGGAACACAAGAGAAAGTAAGAAGGATTAAAGAAAGTGGTGACACCATACGCTGCATGCATATGTAATTTGAATTTAAATGTCAAAGAAATTGTGGCATAAGATATGCAGCACTCCTAGGGGAAGGGTGATTCATTATTCGCGTCTGTAACAGTTAGGGGGTTATGGCATGGTGGGAGAGCTCAGCCGCCAAGATAAAGTGTAGTGCCCTGAGACTGAAAAGCTTGAGTATTCATACATGCAGTTAGGCAAAATATTAAATATCAAGGGTGCCAACTGAGCTTAGAGTTTTTTGAATCGAGAATGGAAAAGCCATACTACTTGTGTTTCTTAAATTTTTCTTGCACAGAGAAAGTGGACAGCCTATTCGAACCTCGTGACTGAGAGCGGTCAATATCTCTCAAGCCAGCAAAGTGAGCTGTGTCTAAGTATCCCTAAACTTGTATCCATATCCATTTATGCTATGCAATAAATATGTCCAAATCCAATCAGCCTCGGCGTTCTAGGAGCATGAAGGCTAGGGAAGAGGAGATAAACGAGACACGTGCTACAAAAGCACTTTTGTGGAATAATATTACACGAATGCACCTGAACAACCTTACCATTTAACACATGGGGATAAAATTTAGCCAACAACTTTTAAAATGTCTGCCACGCAATAGAAACTTTGATGGTCAAGCTTGATCGGAACATGCAAGAAGCTTCATATTCAAGTTCCTCTATCCTGTTATAATAACGCGTGCGGCTAGATTTCAACCACGATCTAAAAGTCATTTTTAATTCGAAAACCCGCTAATTAAGTCTTATTTTTGATAAATTGTTTTACACAGGTGTCCTCAAACCTCGTGCATTTTCTGTTTGTCTAAACTAACTTTGACCTGAATATGACACACTTTACTGTACGAGATGGTGAGTTGGCACCTTCCTCTGGTGTTTCCGTTCTGTTGTTTTTATCAAACCCTGTTTTCCTCTAATTGGACGCTGCTATTCCCACAATTCACAAAAAGAGATTTCGTCCTTCCCCCCATTTCGACGTTAATGCCATAGCTGTTTGCAGATTTGGGTTTTTGTCAATAATTGGCTGCAGACGTTGATGGTAGGTTGTAAACTATTGGTTCCTTTTAGGATAGGGTTTTTGGTATTCGACGATGTTTATATCCTTCTTGAACGAATTATATAACTTACACATTCTGCGCTTTTTAAAACTCGCAAGGCGAATGGTAGCAGCAGTAAATCTGGATCTGGTTCAGGAGCCGCAGCTAGAGGAAGTGGTGGCGGTATTCGCCAAAGAAGGGTGAGCCATTCCCCTAAAGCTACTCCCTGGGTTTTTCACCCTCATGACCAAGTCCTTTTTGCCTTAGTCAACTGCAGCGCCGGCAAGACGCCCCCTCGCCACCACTACACCAAAGAGTCCAGTCTTTCTGTTTTATTCAGAGGACTCTCCTGGCATCAAGATCGGCCCAGTTCCCGTTTTGGTAATGTGCCTCTGCTTCATTGTGTCGGTTTTTCTGCTCCACTTCTGGGGGAAGTATACCCGCAGCACCTAGACGAATACCGTCCCCTCTGATGTATAAAGTCTCCCTTCCCGTCAGTCCCCATTTTTCCATAATTCTTAAGCAACAGCTGACTCTTGTGATGGTTGTTTCCCCCATGTATTTGGTATTCTGATCAGAATACATAAGTTTTTCAAAAAGTATTGCTCGTATCAGAATAAAGTTAATGTGCAGCTGTTGGAAATTTTGTAAGATCTGCGGGGAAGGGTTCAGTTCTTGCGCTTCTTCCGTAGTCTATGGTACTTGACAAATCTGTCCCTCAGGACAAGAAGGAAGCTACGGAAATCACCAGCCTTGTTAAAGTGCTCGACGAGTTTTTCTATGTCGGCAACTGGAGGGTTGCATTTGATTAGCTCCATCGGAGTCGAATCGGCATTGAATCGTAGAATCACGTAACTCAGGAGATCGTAGTCATCCTCGCAGCATCCGCGCATGACAACCTGAACATTATTGTGGTTCTTGGTGCGCCTTATTTCCAGACCGAAAGTCCTCTCGTAGAAGGAAATGCGCTCCTGTAGACGACGTATTTCTGAGTCGGTTGTGCTGGCATGTTTGACAACATTTGCATTTTGGCGAGATAGACTCTCCAATTGCTCCTTAAGCGAATCCTAAAGGATGTAATTGTCAACATGGTATTCTGTTTGAGAGGAAGAGAAGACTCATCTTACCCTCCAGTCACGGAGTCGTTTAAGCTCTGTTTCCTGAAATTCGACCTCCTTGAGCTGTTTCTGATAACGTGCATTGCGGCGCTCAAAAGAGACCTCCTTTTCGTACCAATTCTTCCTCATGGCAGACAATCGCACCATCCACTCCCTCCCATTTTCACCGGTAGTGATGTCACTCTCCTGCTGTTGCTGTTCCAAGTCTATTAGTCGCTGAAAACGACGCAAAACTGCATCCGGAGCGTCCGGAATTGCACCGAACAGGAAGGTTGTCATGGTTAGCGTCCCCTCCGTCATCACCTATAGAGAAGATGACAGGATGTATTCAATGCACTGTTAAAGAAAGGAAGAAAACAGTGATTCCCGAAATGATGTGCACTGGTAACGAGATGGATGTTTACCAAGAATCTGGGAGCAACTACGTAGGCAATACAAGGACTACACCGACCATATTCTCCCAATTAACATAGAATAAACTTTAGTCTGCTGATAGTGGCATAAGCAGTAGTTGATATTGACTAAACAGTAGATTGGTAAATGAATTGATCCAACTAGGTAAAAAGTTTGTAATTGACGGGAATTGATTAAATAGGTGTAGACAGTGACGTCGACAAATGCCGTGAAACAAATTGTGCCATTAAGTCCCATCCAATGTGACTACCCTCGACCGGCGTGTTAAACATAGTCGACAAAGCGAAACCCTGAAAGTCATGTCTTTATTGGTTCGTTTAAAAGCCTGTCTATATCCCAGTGGGTTATCTTACATCCCATGCAGTTCATCATAAGACTTCATCAGTTCTGGAAACCTTAGAAGGAATTAAATTATGGAAGATATTGTGAAGCGAGACTCATCGGTCTCCACCTTCCTATTCCTAACGTTCTTAGACAAGCCCGGTTGATTCGCTTTGGACATCTTTATCAAAGGTGACAGGATGGTGAGGGAAAATACAACGTTCAAGAAGGAGGGGAGCTATAGTCACTAGGTACGGGGAGGACAATCTGACCACGAGATTCCAATTTTCTGCCCGCCTCCTCACTGAAAGGTCCATTAAAACAACATAAGTATTACAATATGGCATCAATAATAACAGCTCGAATGCGTATAATGTAGGATTTCACCCAATTATCCTAATCGCTAAGTCTAGGTTAAATTTTGCTATTGCTTCCTGTCTTGTGTTCCAAGACTTCTTTAAACAATGCTTTCTTGCTCAATTTAGCTTAAAATGAATATATGCTTAGAGCCTCAGACTCTTACCATAACGGAATCTTCATGCTTAATGCGAATTTTTACGATTTAAAATGACAATATTTTCTAACAATAAAACACAGTTGGGGAAAAGAGCATGTTGAACTTTACAAAAATTCCTCATCATATGAATCATGGCAACAATTTGCGAAAGATTATAAGTTATTGTGTTGTTGTGGCAAAAGATCGGTTATTGAGACAGATTATCTACCGAGTAACATAATTCTATGAAATCGTCTACATCCTCTAGGTTTTGCCATTCACAAATGAGATGTGAAACTCGGTTTTTTACCGTGAGAATTTTGCCCATGAGTGGGATTCGTGTTTAACGCATATGATAACCATTGTATCCCCGAAAAGCTCCACCGGAGAAGGAGGCCAAAACTACTACTGAAAACGTAGTCGATTTAAAATTTCTAACACGTGCCGTTCATTGAAACCTGTATGCAGGTAGGGCTGCCCAAATACTAGGACGGATACCTGTCTAGGGTCATTGCCACACCTCTACTGCTACCTGACTGGTTGTCTTGGTGGCGGAAGGGTTCAGTCAGCCTGTTGTTGCTGTCTTGGCAATCGATCCGTGTGTGCGCGTGTTCCGAAGGTAGGTGTGGTGGCTTGATCAGCGTCACCCACAACCACAATTTAAGTTTTCCTTCGTCAATTTAATTTAAGTTAAGCTAACATAATCAAAAGGGATTCCAAATGTTAGAACTAATTTGAGAGTTAATGGAATTTCAATCTCACTGTGCCGGAAAGCGAAATTACATCTCTATGTTGGAATCATTAAACTTTAGTGCTACTTTATAACACTTTTTTAATGTGTACGACTTGAATTCATTAATCGCAGTTAGCTAACGGACTATTTCACGGATTTTTTTCCCAACCTATGTCGAAATGGATGGTTGACCAATAAAATTTGCTACACTTCCTTTAAGTAATAGTTAAATAATTCGAACAAAGGATCAAAAAATTAGGCAAAAATACCAGAGTCAAAAGGCAGACTATCAATAGTGCGACCAAACAGGCGTGCACCAAGGAGATAGATTTTCCCTATTTGAACAAGTTACGAATAATTTTTACCCAAATCTTAAAATGTTGCCCCCTCCTTGGGCAACCGAGGTATGATTGCGTTCCTGTTTGCTTATTGTTCCACTGATTCCCAGAAGAACCTAGGCATTTGTAGATTTTGCGAAATTGTACGGCAAAAACGGATCTCTTGTATTACATTGATCAAAGGGCAATAAATTGTTTCACCTTATTTGAGTTTCTTACTACAGTTTGGCTAAGGCTTTGTTGAAGATACCCAAAAGGCAGTGTTGATATACAATTATGTAATGAGCAGGAAATTTACATCTGGATGTAGCCACATATGTCACGCCAAATTTAATTACTTTATAGACGAGTAAACAATATGGTGACTTTTTTAGCTACTCAGAGCCTGCACTGCGTACCAAGTGACATGAAACAAAAGAAGTTATAACTCACAGTTTAAACTATTTTCTAGTGTTCCGAGAACTCCACCACTCTTTTCAACACTAGACACACGGAAACAAGTGGAATAAGTGGATTTCAGTAGAACCTGGCTAATATGGAAGGCGGTACAAAATATGATGGAAAAATAATTGAAGCATAATTTTTCCGTAAGTATCCCACTTTTGTAAGCAAACTAAAATATAACTTAGAAATGCTCTTTCTTAGAACAGGAGGGCTTCTGAACTTTCAAAGTGGGTTTAATTGCGAAAACTGGACTTGAAGTTCACATGAAGATGTAAAATTTTCCAGTACCTAGCCAACCGAATGTGTGGAAGGCGAGGTCAACAGTCTCAAAGAAGGATAAGAAGCAGGTGCTTGAATTGTGATGTCGCAATGCCAATTTGTCGTTTTGCTTGCTGGTTTTTGGAAGCGTTATTAATCTTTCCTAACTTCTGTTTTCTGTTTTCTACAAGATCGAGGTGTGAGGGGCGTGTGAAAGGGTGTAAAAAAGACAGATTTCATGTCAATGTCAGATCTATTTATCAGAAAGATCCAGCACATAGCATAGATGCTGGTGTCTTCGACAGACAACGTTAAGGATAAACAAGAATGACAAATCTATAGCAACCATGTTGGAAGAAATTTGTCAAGTTCTCATTGCAAAGACGGATCTAACGTTGTGAATAAAGTGGATGGATTTTAGGAATAGCCGGTATCTGAATTAAACAGTGCAGTTACTTTTAGTAAAAAGTTGTGTAACTGTCATTTTTAGAATCCCCGACTTTATTCCATTCACTAGATTAAATGCCCGCCGGAACTAATAATAACTACTTTTCTCCATCTGGCACGTATGGTGCGTTCGAGAGGCTAGGCGTACAAGATTTTTGCTGAGTTATTCTTGGCCTTCGCTATTTTATATCCGTATGAAGCTGTTCCATTGTATGAGGATAAGACTAGCTGGGCTCAACGCCCCAAGCATTTACGTGATAGCAAAATAAGTTCCTGCTTGGAACTTGCAGTCAAAAGTTGACTCACTGATTGCCAATCTATAGCAGCTTTCGGATCAAAATGGACGGAGATGAAAGAGGTGATCACATTGAAATACGTAGATCAAATTTGCAACTCAACACAAGAGAATGTGTTACATGTGTCACAGGGAGAGTAAAACATGTCTTTCCTCTATTTGGATTCGAAGCGTGTAAATATCGCTGTATCATTTGCTAAGAATTCACTCAATTTGGTGTTAATTTCAAGAAACCTCAATAATTTACCATCAGACTGATAAGCTCGTTTTAAATTCTCGAATTTATCCAGTCCCTTAGAAAGTTGACATTTTTCGTGCACCGCAATGTTAAAATGCATACCAAATTAATGGCAGCAATTGGATCTCTGAAATATTATCCATAAACCAAGCATCCTATGCAGACTTAGAGATGTGGTTATCAAATCCCATTTAGAAGTAATTCACTGAAATTGTTATAAAGTGATATGGTGCCTCACTGGTTTCAGCTACACTGCTTGGCTAGTAAGGCAAAGACTCAACTGAAGACACTTGTGTACTCCTTTGAAGCTTCTCCAAGTGAGCACAATTTGTGTTCTTAAATGCTGAAAACATGCGAACTTCATGCATCTGCTTGTGCGTGTCTGCCTTTTCATAATATCATTTTGGCAACCAGTGCTGCTTCTGAAATGAATGTGTTCCTAAATTATGAAGTACTACTGGTATAAAGGCTGGAAAATACTTCATTCTTAAGTGACGAGTTTTAAATATAAAGGTGCAACATGGATAACGAATTACATATTTTGCAAGAATGTACATCGCAAAAACATGTATGCGTTTGGCAGGGTGGTTTATTGAAACCTTTCAATGGCAAGGGAGGGGTAGATAAGAAATTACGGTCGTATTCAAGGTCTTTAATCCAGTGACAGAGTAGCCATTAGTTCAATTTGAGTAGCGAAGTGAAAAGTCATGGAATCTAGAGCCGCAAGGACCGTCCAGGATGACTTGCAGCCAGAGAATAACTCCCCTTTTCAGTATTTTTAAAATGTATGTTAGCCATTTAGGTTAAACTATAATTAAGAAAATAATATTTTCATTTAGTATGACTACTTAAAATACAAAGTGATTCTAATTTACTGGCAAATTAGGTCTGAATGTTGCTACAGCCCCCATGCTGCATTCTTGTGAAGCCATTTTTTAAAGAAATGACACTTTTGAAATAGTTTCGACTTATTACATTTTCGCAAAAAGAAATGCTACTTCCGGCATGAGCTTAACATTTCTACCTGCATCCTACCGCTATGATACACGGTTTAAGGCAGGTAAGCCTCTAGAACCTCTCTGCTAAGTTCATACTCCTACAATGCATTTTGGAGTTGATACACTTTAACCGTAGCACCACTTAAGAGAAATCAACGCCTCGAATTCACTTTTTAAAGACCCTTCCTATGATAAATACTATATATTAACAGTTAAAAGTGCAAGCTGGATATTTGTGCAACGTCAAATGTCTCACATGCTCAGGTTAATTCAGCGCAAACAATTTTACAGAAATGT